ATGAGATTACATTCTAAGGTTCTGGGTAGACATGAATTTTGGGGGGACACTTGAACCCAGAAAACCCCCCTAAATGCCGTAGCCCTAGGCAACCACTAATCTTTCTGTCTCTAGATCTGTTCTGACCATTTTTATGTAGGATTTTGAACTTTGCACTTCATTGAAAACGTACCTAGTTTAGTTTTTTTTTGAGGGCAGAATATTTATCATAATATGGTTATATTCATTTAATGTGATAATCTCCCCTATAGAATATATAGCACTGTTTAAGATATTTTAAGCATACTAGCCTTACTAACTAGAACACACTATAGTAAGTATGTGGACAGATATGATGTAGGTTATAATAAAGTTTTTTTTCCCTTAGCAATTCGTATCATAATTCCTAATTAGTGTCTTTTTCTGCCTTGGAAATACTGTACAAAATTGTCAATTCCAGAATAATGGGTAAAAGTACACCATATTGACAAATACATTATCTATTACTTTTTTCCCAAAAAAAACCTACCTTGTAAAGTTCTCTTTAGTAGACTTTTGATATGTTAATATTATATCCTTTGCAATGACACTATTTTGATGACAGCATCAAAAATGACACAGCATTATACTTTCAAAAAGTCACAATTTGAACATGAGACTTTAGCATCTTGAAAAAACTTGCTATAAAAAATGATAATTATAATTGTGACTTTGTGGCCTAGCTTTCAAAAATTTGACGTATATATTTTCATGAAAAATTGAGTCGTGAATTATTTTGATATATTGCTAACAAAATCAAAGTAAGCCATATACTAAATAATTATTCAACCAAGGAGCCTATATTCCTTTTCTCTTACATATTATTACCATGAAAAATTCTGGATTTGCTGTATATGCCAGGGTAAAGAAGATATTTGGAGGAAATTTTGCTTTTTAAGGTTAATACTCTTAACATACACCAAAGACTTGAGAAAATCCAATTTCCTCCAACATGGCACCAAACAGCTCTCACTAAATCCAAATAATTTGGTAACATAAAAGGACATTTGTAGGTTGTATCATTCAACACTTGATAAATCCTTCCTTTAAATATCCTCCTTCCTCTATAGTTGCCTCAAAAGACCTTTAAAAGCTTGAATCCACTTTCATCTTCCTAACTTTCCTCCTTCCCAAGATGTTTTAAACCAGGAAAAAATCAAAATAAAAAAAAGTCTGTGCTAGAAAATTGTCTGAAATATTACCCTTACTAACTAGAAAGCTTTTTACTTTCCAGAACTTTATGCCCTCTCTCATAACAAAGATGTAAAACGGGGTTCAAGATCTAGTTTGAGTCTTACAAAGCAGCTGTCTGTCCCCAACCTTTTTGGCACCAGGGACCGTTTTCATGGAAGACGATTTTTCCACAGACGGGGGGCACAGGGGATGGTTTCAGGATGATTCAAGTGCATTACATTTATTGTGCACTTTATTATTGCATTGTAATATATAATGAAATAATTATACAACTTACCATAGGCTGGGGGTCCCTGTTATAAAGGATTCCCCTGACTTTCTCTTCCAACCCTCTAATTTGTTCCCACTATCCATGTTTTCCAAGAGCATTTTCTTTTTATGATTGTTCTTTTATGTGGTATGGTGTTCTTGTTCCATGTTATCCTCTGAGGATATTTTCATTTCTTTAACATTTTTTAAGCTTTTGTTTCCTCTAACTTCTGTTTGTTTTATTCCTTTCTTGTTGGTGTCTGTCCTCAAATATATGGTCCCTGGCTTTGCATTTATATTTAAAATGAAACATTAAATATTGATAAATTGGGGGCATAAGGGTGAACTTTATTATGTGATAAATGAATGGCCAAGCTGTTTTTTTGGGGGGGGGGTGGAATCCATGAGAGATACATAGGTATTTTTCTGGGATGTTTGATTCTCTAGAAAATAATCTTCCAATCTCTTGCCCTTTGGGAGAAGGAGGAGGGCAAATTGGAAAGAGGGGGACTGTAAGCCTAGCTGCAGGATTTCTGGAGCTCAGGCAAAAGGGATTCTAAGTCACTGTTCAATAAGCATAAGCTCTCTCTGTACCCATTGTCCTGGACTCTGAAGCCTCTCATTCCCTTTTTTCAAGGAAGAAACTTATCTCCTATCAGATTGGGATAGTTGCCTCACTCGGTGGGTTTTTGGAGCTAAGTTCTAACCATACCTCATACAGATTTCAAAACAATCCACCCTTCTCTGGTACCTGGTGGCTTTTAATTCCTCAGGCTTTTTGGCCTTCCCTGGGGACTCAGTGTCCACCTTACAGAAATTTAATTTCAACTTCTACTTATCTAAGTAATTTACTATCTGCTCTTCCATCTGCATTCAGTGTTAATAAATTGTGGTTTGAGATTATGGATATCTCCTAGGATAATCAAATAATGGTGTTTTTGCTTGTTTTCCCTTTTGAGATGATTTTCAAAAGGAAGGGGAGACAAGTATTTTTACTCTGCCATCTTGAAAACAGAAGTTTCCTTCCTGTGATCCCACTCTCCTGATTTCCACCTATACCTCTCACCAAAATTATCACTACCACATTCTGCAAGCCTCAGCCCTAGGCTCTCATTGTCTCACAGCGCACCACCTAGACAATGTCAACCAGGATTCTGACCTTGCCCCTCTCCCCCTTCACCAAGCACTGTGCTTACTGTCACTTAAGCTTCAGCCACCACTGGTATTATTTTAGGTCTAGGATCCCAGCAAAGTCCTCACACATGCTGGCATTTACAGGTATGAGAAGTCAGTGGCTACAAAGAGATACTGGTTAATACAAGCAGATAACAATATATTAAAAACAATGGAACCCTAGTTTCTCACTATCAAAGAAGGGAATTACAAATATAGGAGGAAAATAAAATGAATCCCGTGATCTTGGATTGGAATTAGAGATTATTGGTGTGAACTCAGTTCTCAATACATACATATAGATATAAAAATATGTACTGATGTAAATGTGTGTGTCTATTTCCTAGCAAGGTCCATGAAAAGGCCTGGGACCAAAGACATCACAATAACAATGAGCACACTTAGAGCTCAGCTCTTGGTTTCTGAGTACCACCAAAAGGACTCGGGGTTCCTTGGAGAAATGACTGATTCCAGGGCTGGAGTAGAGAAAATATAAAAATTAGCCTAGAGCATCTCTTTGGCTCAGAAAGTAAAGAAGTGCTCAAATAATCGCGGGGATTTTTTTTGTCCTTTGTCAAATGGACAAAGGAGCTTAAAGGGGCTCCCACTGGTCAAACTGGGGATGACTTGAGCATCCAAATAAATTATAGGGGCCAGGTGCAGTGGCTCACATCTGTAATCCTAGCACTTTGGGAGGCAAAGGTGGAAGGATCAGTTGAGCCCAGGAGTTCAAGACCAGCCTGGGCAACATAGTGAGACCTTATCTCTACAAAAAAAAAAAAGCCAGGTATGGTGATGTGCACCTGTATTCTGAGCTATTCCAAAGGCTTAGGTGGGAGGATTGCTTGAGCCCAGGAGTTCAGTTTGCAGTGAGCTATGATCAGGCCACCACACTCCAAGCTGGGCAACAGAGCAAGACCCTGTCTCTTTAAAAGAAATGATAGTAATGGATCATAACCCATGGAATAAAACTGGAAATCGTGAGTCCATACTGAGAGGAATAAATAAATGAATGAACTAAAAGCTTACTAAGCAACTGGATTTTTATATACTTTCAAAGTATCTCCCCACAAAATTCTTAATGAGGAAAAGAGTAACTTTATGGTGGAGCAGGTTGGCGGACACTACCTTAAGTGATCAAAGTGAACATCACAGGTAATGGGTCAAATTGAAATTGTGCACAACATGCAATGTGAAAACCACAGTATCACTTCCATGATAATCCTAACAAAAATACACAACCTGAGTCTAATCATGAGAAAACATCAAACAGATCTTCATTGAGTAACTTCCGCAATATAACTAACCTGTAATTTTCAAGAGTGTCAAGGTCATGAAAATCAAGGAAAGGTTGAGGAAATGTTCCAGACTGAAGGAGACACATGAAACATGACTAAGACACAAATGATTCTGAACTGGGTCCTTTAAACGGCATTACTGGGACATTTGGCAAAACATGAATGGAGTCTAAGGATTAGATAGTCGTGATGCATCATCCATAGTAAAGTTCTAATTTTGATGACTGTGTTGTGGTTATGTAGGAGAATGTCCTTGTTTGTAGGAAATATACTGTAAGTATTTGGGTGATGGCACATTAAGTCGGCAACATAGTCTCAAACGGTTCAGGAAAAAAGTTCTTCGTACTGTATTTGTAACTCTTACATAAATTTGATTGTTTCAAGGAAAAGGAATTACACCGATTGAAAAAAAACAAACTAGTTCGCACCAGTAGTTCCCAGCGCTCCTGTAGATTCTGCAGTCCTCAAAATACAAAGTACGTGAGCAAGATCAACGGCTCACCCCAACCCAATCACCCTAAAACTACCAGGACAAATCTATAATCCAACAAAGTTAGATTTATTGACTCATTGCAACCAAGGAGACTGTGCACCAGAGGGACCGTGGGAGGTCTCACCATACGAAATAAAAGTTAGATATTGTATCTGGGGGAAAGAGTGGAGTTTAGGTGAAATTTAAATGAAATTTTTTTGCTAGGCCCAAAGCAAAGCAGACCTCTGTGTGAAGGCATCAACATTAGGTCTGGACTGAGAAATGAATATAGGGTCTTATTTCCCTGGAAACTGCAAAATTAATAAAATATGGAACGTTGTTTTCAGAAACCCTTTGTTTGAAGCCCTGCACCTGGGTAGAAATTGAGGCTGCATCTGTGTCAAAGTGAGATAGATCCTCCAGGAAAGAATGGGATGTTTCATTCTTAAATAATTTCAAATAACAACGTGTAGCTGGACTTTAATGAACGTTTCCCAGTGTGTAAGAATGTAGTATTCACTCAAAGAGAGGTTATTATACTTTTCCGTTGCAGTGTGTCCTAAAAAGAATCTTAAAAGATACATTGTTTCCTATTACGTAACAGCCGGCTGTATCTTTCTTATCCATCCTAATGAATGCCTGGGCAATTTTTCACTTTCTCAGCGCGAGTTAATTTTTACTGTCTCAGCAGTTACAAATGAAAAGAACGCCTCGGCCTCTAAAACGAGAGCTAATTCTCCTCTCAGGTCCTTACTGGAGCTCTGCGTTTGTTTAATCTGCTTTCCTCTCATTTTTCGGACCTCCCTGAAGTCCGAGGCCCTGCACCGGGGTCAAACGCGTTCCCTTTCTCCGCGTAACCGTTCAAGTATCCCGCCTTCCCCGGACACATGCCGTGCGTCACGGCAGTCCGCTCGTGTCCAATCCTATTGGCTAAAATCCACGTCTCTCATCGCTCTGGGAGCGGAAGAAGAAGGAAAGGGTCTCCGGCCGCGAGAAGATGACATCACAGTAGCCGGTTAGGCGCCGTCGGCTGTTCGGGGCCCTCTGCTCGCTGACTGGTGCTGACTGAAGACCCCTCCGTTGGCGACGCCGTCGCAATGACCATTTGTCAGTTCTTCCTTCAAGGCCGGTGCCGCTTCGGAGACCGGTGCTGGAACGAACATCCCGGTGCCAGGGGTGCAGGCGGGGGACGGCAGCAGCCACAGCAACAGCCCTCAGGTGACGCTCCCCTCAATCCTCTGCCTCAAGCGAAGCGGGGAAGGCCTGGTAGGAGGCCGGCCGGAAGGCCTCGGCCGTCCCGCGGCTGTCCCAGCGCTGGGCTCAGCGCCAATTCGCGCTGGTCAGGTGACCCGGACGTGCCCGCGGCGCGGCCTCGCCGGCCCCGCCCACCGCCCGCATAGTATTTTTATCTGACGTTTCTAGCCGAGGGTTAGGCAAGTGGTCGGTTTCCGTTGAGCGGGCGAGGACAAGGGTTTGGCCCCGGATGCTCATGCCAGGCAATGAGTGTTTAAATCGGAAGTGTCTATCCAAACTACCTTGTTGGTGAATGGCCGTGATTGGAAACATTCTCGTGAGTCGACACAGGGCCTCCTTGCTTTACTATCCTTATGTATACTTGGTTTCTTCACTTGACACCTTGAATATAATATTTACTAAGTTCTTTTTTCGAGAGAGAAGCTAACAACTTGCGTCAGAATCGGGACTTTTCATTTTGGGGAAGTCGCGAAGTCTTGAAAATCTAATGAAAGCTGCAGAGCCATACCGCAGAAAAATGCACGTGCTCGTAAAATTGGGAAGGTGGGACGCCCAGTTAAGAACTCTCCAGATTGTGAGGAAAGGGAATGTGGGGGCCACGTTGACTGGCTCCCTGGATGTATGTCATTGTTAAAGCTTTTGTCTTCAAGGAGAGGAGGGAACAGACATGAAACCATGGCACAACAGAGGATTTTAAAGGTCAGATGAATAATTAGGTGTTATTTTCTTAGCACTGGAATTTAGTGCTTTAAAGTATCACAAGGTGCAGTCTCCTTCACGCCCCTCCTTTAGGGCTATTCATCTGACCCTTTAACCTTGCGTTGCATGGTGGTTTCACATCTGATCCCTCTTCTTGAAGACAGTTCTTTTGGGTCATCCGCAATTGGTCTAGTGAAATATTCCAAACCAAAAATTAGGGCTCGGGATCTGATAAATATATTTTCAGAACAACAGGGTGTAATATTTGACATTCTGTGGAGACTTTCTCTTAATGTAATTAGAAAATAAATATTGGATAGATTGATGGATGAAAAAAGTATAAATAAAACTTGACAGATAAACGGTGTATAGCTCCCAGAAACAAATGAATGCTTCTAGAATTATAAGTAAGTATGAAAGCCAAAAGCGACATACAAATGGAAGTGAATTTCTTCAGTTGTGTCATCCCAGGTAGAATTTGGAACTTTAGGAAAAAAGATACCATTAACTCCTACTGGAGGGATCTGGTCCTCCCTTTTCTTTTTGGATGTATTAAGTAGTTTAGAGTTGGGAGATGAACTTTCATAACTGGGCATATATCCCATCATTCCAATTTTTAATGTTTTTAATGGAATATCTCCTAATTCAGTCAGAAACAAATTACCTTTATTTTGGCCCTAAATAGGAAGTGATGAGTAAATGAGATTGCTAAAGTGATAAAATGAAAGACAATATAGAGAGGCGGGGCACAGTGGCTCACTCCTGTAATCCTAGCACTCTGGTAGGCTGAGGCAGGGGGACTGCTTGAGGGCCAGAAGTTCTAGACCAGCCTGAGCAAGATCAAGACCCCATCTCTAGAAAAATTAGCCAGGTGTGGTGCCAGACATCTGTAGTCCCAACTACTTGGAAGGCTTAGACAGGAGGATCACTGGAGCCCAGGAATTTGAGGTTGCAGTGAGCTGTGATGACGCCACTGCACTCTAGCCTGGGAGACAGAGCAAGACCCCAGTCTCAAAAAAAAAAAAAAAAGACAGTATAGAGACAGGAGAGAATCCTGTTGACTCATTTTGCTATTTATGAAGTATTAGAAATCTCAGAGGAACTCAATACACTTCAAGCACATGTAAGTTACCTCTGTACTCTCCCTGTGAAAGGTAGGTGTGTAGGTGTTGTTTTCCCAGAGGGAAGACTGAGTCACATAATAAACATCTATTTAAGTACAAAGGGTAAAATCTAATCTTTTATATTCAACAAACTCTTTAATTCATTGTCCATTTTTCAGCCTATCCTATAATATACGGCCAGGTGGGGGAGAAAAGAATGATACAAACAGAGCTTTATATCCTGAAGGAGCTTATGATTTAGGATGCATGCCCTCTGTCCACTCCACTATCAAACAATTGTTTATTTAATAAACTTACTTAGCTAAATTTAGTAATATATCATTATTTTCCTATGGATTTATAGCCCTCTCAATCTCATTAAACAGACAATGCAAGCAGACCATTATGTGATTTGTTATTACACCTGACTGCTATATATAAATCAAAATGAAGAGATTATCATTTTAAATGAATGGAAGTGTGGTGCTTGTGAATCTTAATATAATGTCTAAACATAACAAGACAAAATATAATGAAGATTTTTGAGATTTAGAAGAGGATTTGTTAGTGAAGTTATTTTGTTTTATTATTTATTTTAGGTAGTAACAGACGTGGATGGAATACCACCAGCCAGAGATATTCCAGTGTCATTCAGCCATCCAGTTTCTCCAAACCAACACCATGGGGGGGCAGCAGAGATCAAGAAAAGCCATCTTTCAGCTCATTTAATTCTGGAGCTTCAGCTAGTAGGAATAGGGGCTTTGGATTGTCAGAGAACCCATTTGCTTCACTTAGCTCTGATGGGCAGAAAGATGAAAAGAAACTTCTGTAAGTGGAACCCTTCCGGAAAATTACTACCCATTTGCTTATTTTTTTCAAAAGCGCCTACAGTATTTTTAAAAAAGAAGTAATGCGGCCGGGCGCAATGGCTCATGCCTGTAATCCTAGCACTCTGGGAGGCCGAGGCAGGTGGATCGCTCAAGGTCAGGAGTTCGAGACCAGCCTGAGCAAGACCAAGACCCCATCTCTACTAAAAATAGAAAGAAATTATCTGGACAACTAAAAATATATAGAAAAAATTAGCCGGGCATGGTGGCGCATGCCTGTAGTCCCAGCTACTCTGGAGGCTGAGGCAGGAGGATTGCTCGAGCCCAGGAGTTTGAGGTTGCTGTGAGCTAGGCTGACGCCACGGCACTCTAGCCAGGGCAACAGAGCCAGACTCTGTCTCAAAAAAAAGAAATAATGCATTATTAAAAAATCAGAGTGAGCAAAAAGAAGGAAAATCACCCATGATCCTATCACTCAGGGATACCCAGTCTCTTGCTATCATATATATCGTACTAGACTTTATTTCACTTAAAAATATATCCTCTTTCCATATTAGCAGAGGGCCTTTTTAGAGCTAATTATGCTTTTTTCCACTTTCTGTTTTTAACGCTGTATTGTGAATATCTTTCTAAGGTTAGTCCTGCTTAAGTTCATTCTGAACTATGAGTTCTTTACAAAGTATGAGGTAATTTAGAACAACTTGTGATCTTGGAGGTCACTTATAGCATCTCTTATTTCTTTCTAAAACCTTTATTTTGATTACCCTTATTCAAACTGATTTATTACCCTTATTCAAACTGATTTTATTTGATTTCCTTCATTTATTGTGGAGTAGATTCATGACATTTCTTGAGAACATTCCTGGTAAAATTTATGACTGGTGCCAAAACAATCCTTGGCTGTCTGTAACATACCCTCAGTTCGTAGCTTCCAGGAGGGAATTTAATATACTTGGTTAGTCTTTTACTTCCCATAACTAAGTCAGAACCAGTGGTAAACATTTTGAGCCATGCACCACATACAATTTATTTTTTTAAAAAGTAAAATAACAAATAAAACTCTCCTTTCTTTATTTGTTGCATTCCTAAACTTAATATAGTATTCTCTGTGATATCTGTTATTTTATTGTTACATTCTGGATGGGGGAAACAGTAATGTAGAACCAAATCTATTCATGGCTTTGCCACAAATTAATTGTATGAACATGGGTCTGCTTCTCCTGTTGCAAAATGTGAGAATTAGACAAAGTCATCTCTGAAATCCTATAACTCACTTTTAAAATTTTATGATTCTATCATTTAAGTAGTACTTTGTTCATTCCCAATTAAATGATCATTGATGTTTATGATAATGAGCAAAAAAAGATTAAAGTTAGTATTGTGTATTTTATTATACTTTAATTCTTTTAAAAATGTATGGTGGGTATGATAGTTCTTCAGTATATTTGTTAATGATTCAGTGTATTGGAAAACCAAAATTATTAACTTAACTATGAAATATAGTTCATATTTCTATAAGCTTCTGCTTTAAAGAACACTCTTCAGAAAATATAATGGGAAAAATTTAACACTATGTATTTGCTAGAATTTTAAGTTTCAGTCATTGAAAATGATAAACAATAAATTTTGCCAAGTAGTTGAAAAGATGCTTTACTCTTTTTTTTTTTGTTTTCTTTTTTTCAGAGAAGGGATTATAAAAGATATGGAGGTTTGGGAATCATCAGGGCAGTGGATGTTTTCTGTTTATTCACCAATGAAAACAAAACCTAATATTTCAGGTAACTGAAAAATTGTGTTTTCAAAATGTATTCTGTGGTCTGGGCAAGGTGGCTTATACCTATAATCCCAGCACTTTGGGAGGCCACGGTGGGAGTACACCTGAGGCCAGGAGTTCAAGACTAGCCTGGGCAACATAGTGAGACCCCCATCTCTACAAAAAAATTAAAAGATTAGCTGGGTGTGAGTGCCTGTAGTCCTAGCTACTCAGGAGGCTGAGATGGGAGGATCCCTTGAACTCAGGAGTTTGGGGTTCCAGTGAGCTGTGATCACACCACTGCACTCTAGCCGTGAATAAATAAGTACATACATAACTTAATAAACAGGCAAACACACACACGCACAAACAGCTACAATTAGGAGAGTTTGGATGGTGTTTAAAGTGTTCAAGTATTCTAGCCGAACTTCATAATCAGATTGAGGTTGGAGAATATAGTTCTTTTAAGATATGTAGTTCTCATGAGAAAATAATTAAATTGGGACCCACCATAATTCCAATCCTGTAAGCCCAGGAAGAGGCTCTCTTCTTGGTTCTCCATATATACAACTTCACAACCTCTTTAGCTGCCTGCAGTGAATGGAAGAGTCACATCCTGCCTGCCATTAAGACCTTGGTGCCTGGTTCTGTTCTTTCTTTCTTCCTATCTTTTTTCTAAGAATAGTTATTTTTCATAAAGCATGTGGAGACTTATCCTGGAGATAATGTTTGAAGGTGAGGAGCTTTAGCTGGACTACAGGAATATTCTTTAGAATACCCCTTTCCTTCCCATTTTCTTTTGTCCATAGTCCCTAAGCCCTTTCTGGGCTAAAACCTAGACCACCAGGCTTTCCCAAGCTCACTCTGGGTGGTCCTGGGCCTCCATCCTATTGATGGGTACCTAGCAAATGGGAGCACTTGCAATCACTGCCCCAGAACCCTGGGCTCTCTGTCCTGTCTTTGCTATACCTGTTCATTCTCTGTGAGCATTTGTATCACAGCACTCCTTTCTTACTTATTCACTCATCCATTTAACAAACATTTATTGAATTTCTTTTGTGCCAAGTGCCAGGGATTTAGTGATGAGCAAGACACATAAAATTTCTCCCTTATGAAGCTGTTCTTGAGGGAGGGAGATAATAAGTAATGCAAATAAATTAAGATAATTTCAGATAGTGATATTTTCTATAGAGAAAATAAAGTGTTAAGCCTTTAGTCAGTTTAAGTACTAATACTTAATTAGCACTTAAGTATTAAGTCTTATTCAGTTCAGAATTTAACGTAATGCCTAATACCCCAAAGCAGTGGTTCTCAGAATGTGGAATCTGGATCTTTGACTAGGATTGACAGATAAAATATAGGACATTCAGTTGAATTTAAATTTCAGATAAAGAATAGTAAGTATATGTATATCCCATGTATTAATAATATTTGGAACACATTTATACTAAAAACGTATTTGTTCTATGTTTGGAATTCAGATTCAATTGGACATCCTGTATTTTTATTTGCTAAATCTGGCAACTTTATGTCTGAGGCCATTTTAGAGGTAGCACAGGTGCAAAAATATTTTTATAATAATACTAAAACATTAATTGCTATTTTCACTATTGACATTTTCACTGTTGGTGCAAAAGCATTGATGAGTAAAACTGCTTGTATCTTAGCATAAATCAAGGCAGAGGCAAGAGACTACTAGTAAACTATAGTAGTCACAATAAAAATATTTTAATGCTGTTTTAACTTAAGAATGTCTTTCCTGAAAAGATAAAAGTTATTATTTTGCTAAACCTTGACCCTGAATACACATCTTTTTATTATTCTGTGTGACAAAGTGAGAAGCACACGTAAATTGCTTCTTCCCCATAACTCAAGCATGATGGTTATGCTGAGGGAAAGCACTTGTGTGATTGTTTCAGTTGTGAGCTGAGCCAATCTAGCCACTTTTTTCAAAGACAACTTTTATTTGAAAGAATGACAACTATGATTATTCAGACTTAGGTATTTGACAGATATTTTCTAAAAAATGAAATGAGCCTGTCACTTCAAAGAAAACAGCTGACATTGTTTATTGCCAATAACAAAATTCAAGCTTTCGAGCAAAAATTAGAATCATGGAAAACTCTTTTCTGTCACCATGAGCATGATGGCTTCTCAATGAGATGGTTGGCAACATTAACAAATGTGAATTTTTTTATATTGTATAATGACATGTGCCAACATTTGGAAGTTCTGCATAACTCAGTGAATCAGTATTTTCCAAATGACCAATGTGTGATGTTACAAAATTATACGTGGTTGAAAATCTATTCTACATGCATGATAAACCAGTGGATTTTAATATACTAGTACAAAAAATTAATAGGCTTGAGTCTACATTATAGCTAACCTTTAAGAAACTATCATTTGCAAGTTTTGGTGTAGTATCAAAGAATGCCCACAATTATTTGAAAACTTGTCCACAAGTCTTCCTTTTCCAACTCCATGTCTCTGTGAGTAAAATTTTCTTCATGCACTTCAACCAGAACAACATTGCAGCAGAGTGAATACAGAAGCATGTGTAATAACCCAAGTGTTCTATTAAGCCAAATAGTAATGAGATTTACAAACAAAACAATGCTATTCATCTCAATAAATTTTTGGTTTTTGTTTTGGAAAATAGTTTTTTTGTTTATGTAGATATATAATTGGTTTCTTATTTTTAAATCAATTAATAAATATAAATTTCTCAGTTTTCATTTTGAATGTGGTAATTATCAATCCATGTAACCTATATAAACAAAAGCTCTTTGGAGTCCTTAACGATTTTTAAGAATGTAAATGGGTCCTCAGACCAAAAAGTTTGAGTACTGCTGTCTTTAGGCATCTATTTATATATATATATATTTTTTTTTTTTTTTTTTTTTTTTTTTTTTTTTTTATTACATTCCAGAGAAGGAATGGGTCAACCCCCAGGAGTGGAAGGAGACGTATTATATGTTAATA